AAAAAAAAAAAAAAAAAAAAAAAAAAAAAACTTAAATCAACTGCGAAGAAGCATTCATGGAAACAAAAGAAATGTAACTTACCACCGAAAGAACTGAACAAGTGATAGAAGTTTTAGTTAAATAATTTAACGCTGCCATCGACCGTATGCTTAGTAGACTGGCACGTTAATTACACAAAATTTTCAATGCCTCACTGTCCTGATAGTTCACTTTTTCACAATTTATCATTTTAGGCTCACCAAAAATAACTTACTGACAAGAAAGCAGCTTACTTTCCAAAAGTCTTAAAAAAACTCTTCTGGGTATTTCTAACATCAATTTTTTATATTACTATTGTATTCGGGAGAGGAAGGAGGTAGTTATTATTGCTTTTATGTTGTTTTAATTTATTGAATAATTACTGTATTTGGTTTCTATATAGATGTGCTGGCTGCACTCCGCAGTGAAACAGAAAGGGCAGGGGGATGAGTGGACAACCTACGTCAAAGAGGGACACTGCAGCTATACCAGCGATGCCGCAATTGTTGGATAAAGCACACTGGTGCCCGCGCACACGCGCGCACATACACACACACACATGTACTCAAGTCAGCAAGCAAGCACGCACGCATGCTCACTACGCGCAGGCGCAATATATATTTGTAGTTGTACAAGTGTGAGGAAAGGATGACAAACAAAAAAACAGAAAAAATAAAATTATTAAAAACTCTTATGCCATTCCCTTGTCTTTTAGGTCTAAAATAATTTATTCATTAAAAGAAGAGTACACCAACTGCCAGAAGGGAAGAATAAATAAATAAATAAAAATAAAGCAGGGGGATTAAAGTAAATAGATAAATAAAATGATAATATTCAAATTATGTCTACCTTCATGTCGAGAGTGTTACATCATTAAAATATACCTGTTGATGTTCAAAAATGAGAATTCTCAGTTAGAGGACCCTCTCAATTGTTGTCAGACTTCCAAATAGTTGCTGTAGTTCCAGATAGTATTGCAAGACGGGCAAAACAATGATAAACCACTCGGATAATTATAGGTCCTTCAGTCATTATCCTTTAATAAAAACTTTCGTATCATCATACAGAAAACATTATGACTTTCCACATTAAAATGGTTTTTTTCAAAAAGAAAAGGGTATTAGTTTTCATTTTCAATCAGAAAAAAAGGCGCACTGTGTCGTCCTTGAAAATTAAAGCACAAATTGCACATTTTCATCGTCAAACAAACAAAATGTAGTAATAATTGATCGTTTTACCGCGTTCTGCGACCACTCATCTAGTTTTCCGTTATGTTACAAAGGTTTACGGATTCCTCTATTGCGCAGAGACCATATATATATATATATATATATATATATATATATATATATATATATATACAACCCCTTTATTTGTTTTCCAAACCGTGTCATCACAACAAGGCTATTCAGTATACGGAATGTTTTTTTAGGTCGTGTTTGACAATCACGGATGCGTGCTATAATAGGGATGAGGACTTTGGATAGATTTCTTAAGCAGGGTAGCGCAGTGGGACTACTTCCCGGTTTGCCCAGCCTCCGTTGACCTCACTATATATGGTACTGGGCTATACACAAGTTTGTAGTATAACACCCCATTTCCATAGATTAGATCGACCTACTTTGGATCGACCTAACTCCCTGGGGGTTCGCGCTGAATAGCTGTCAGCCGGGCGGACACGAAAGTTAATTGCCCCTTACGACTTGTAGTGGGCGGGGACGGACACTTAAGGGGGATTATCTGACGGTAGTCTGATGAGACTCCCCGCGGTGATAGATCGATCTAAAGTTGTGGGAATAGACCCTAAGAGTGGAAAGCTTCAGTGGGGAAAATTGCTTAGTCTTGTCTCGTTTCCCTCATTGTTATACTGTTATTTTATAAGTAAGAAGGGAAAGCGGATACGAAAAGCGACAAGTTCCCGCCGCACCCTTCCCACGTTCCACCTTTGGACACAGATATATTCTATTCGCCGAAATAATGGAACCTAGTAGTCAATGAAGTGAGCAGGGTATTTCAACAACCCCTTTATTTGTTTTCCAAATCGTGTCATCACAACAAGGCTATTCAGTATACGGAATGTTTTTTTAGGTCGTGTTTGACAATCACGGATGCGTGCTATAATAGGGATGAGGACTTTGGATAGATTTCTTAAGCAGGGTAGCGCAGTGTGTCTACTTCCCGGTTTGCCAGGCCTCCGTTGACCTCACTCACTTAGACGAGGAAAGCATACACGCTAACTGTGTCGTTGAAGTTACCTGTGTCGTTGAAGTTGCTTCTCTATCGATGTGCGGGTTATCCTGAGCTTCACTTAAGATATATAGACGTTAGTGAAATGACATGCTCCCAGTATGGGGACTATCAGAATATACGGAGTAGCTTTGATTGTATCGATGTTTTTATTTGGTCAGTCATGGAGTGTAACGGATGGAGAAGGTAGGTCTTCGAATCCCTGTTGATTTTTTTAATTTCAAGGGTTAACTTTTAAATAAACGAAATTTGATACATATACTAGTACTTCATCACGAACCAGTAAAAAAAGGTATAAAAGAGGATGCAGCTTTTATGATACATTTTGTGATGTGATCTTGACTTGGAGTTCATTCAACAGGGGAGGTAGGCTGAACAGCAAATTACTTGAGACTTAACTCCCCCATCCTTCCACTTTCCCCAAAGAATTTAATTAGAAACGTTTTTCGTGAAATATATATTTTTATTTGCACTCCCTGTCGTCTACCGGATTAATAACTCACTGTAGTTAAAAAATCTTTGTCGGTCACAGAACAAATAACTGCACAGCATGTAATTAGCTTAAGGATTATCTGTGATAACATGTACTAGTTAAAAGATTCTGAGGCCCTAGTGGAGACCCCTAGGCCTGCCCTGGTTTTGAAATCTGAATGTCGCTCACTTCCTATTTCAAACAGGGCTGGTAAGCAGTTTATGGAAGAAGTGGGTTTTTCTTAGACAACGTAGATGGGAATAGACAGATAGATTGATAAAATTTGTGAGATACATCAGGGCTGCAAAAATGCTTTGGGCAACTTTTTATGGTTTACAACAAGTGCAAGCAGGATTTTAGTAACCATGTATACGCTGACTGAAGCAGACGTATGATGGACTGGGAGAAAGAAGGTTAATACAATGTCAAATGTAATTCTGCCTTAAAGTAATAAAAAACTAAATAAGTATACTGTTTTTCAGCAATACAACGCTTAACACTGGAGTCGACGCGTGAGTAAATAGTGAACACTGTAGTTAGACGTATTTGAAAGGTAGTGTCAGTATGCGCAAGTTAAAGGAGCACCCGTGGTCGCTTTACAATGGATTACTTACGTAGGCTCTCTCAAAATACTGCTCATGTTCTTATGTTTGTTAAAAAGAAAAAGCAAACGACACTGCCTCTTTAAAAGAAGGTAATGCCTGAAAAAATAGTTAAGGCTAACACACCGAGTATATATTTCGATGTTGTAATGCCGCTCTTTCTTTGCCATCAGTTTCACATGGCATAACAGTCCAGGTATTCAGAAATCGCTCATGACAGTTTCTTTGTTTCATTACACGCAATGTTTAAAAAAATTTTCCAGCTTAGCATTATATTTCGCTTAAAACAGGTCTTTTTTGTGCGACATGCTACAGAACTGACGCCACGACCCGACGTTCTGGCATTTCATTCACGCCACTAAATAAGGAAAAACGCGATAATGTAACGCAGATCACATGTCAAAAAAAGAAGTACCTAAATTATAGACCTTGGGAAAGATACAAAAGTATCACCTTTCTTTAGATTTATCACTTGATCGAGCCTGCCAGTGTGTTTTCATATGTTTTAACCTCAGTCAGTGTTATTTATTTATTTCAACTGCGCTGAACATGAAAAGGCCTGCAGGTCTCCGTTTGATTATAAAAGCTTAGGTAAAGAGACACAACGATTGTTAGAATGCATTATACGCCCTTAGGATAAAATAGAAGGAAGAAAAGCATTTATTTGTAATCATTTGACATCTATATACAATGGATCCATATGGATAGGTTACGTCTGAAAACTATTTCACTACGATAAAAAAATTGATAGAAGAATGTTTGTAGCTCGGGTAAAATGAATGGAGAAAAAATGTCGGTCGGCAGTAAAAGTTGTCCATATTAAAGCGGTGAAGAAGACCTCTAACCCTTGGAATATTTTCTTTCTCTTTTCTACCCGCGGCGCGCGCGCACGCCAAGAATTAATGTATTGGTCGTAGATTTGATCTTTTTTCTCTCTTACATTTCGCCAAATAGTTCTGCCAAATATTTTAATTCACTGACACAGGCTTTATTTAACGCTGGGGTTTAAGAGGCCCATACAATCAATCATTTTTTAGGACAAATAGGCATATTAAACATAATATAAAGATAGATTTGTTGGTAAAATGATAACCATTATATCATGTCGACAGTTCAATATTTAAAATTGTACAAAAGGACATCCTTTAATTATATTTTTAAAAGTAACGGAGCAAACTGAAAACAGAAGTTAGTTTTCAGTTTTCTCCGAAACTCAGCGTGATCCTTTTTGATCGTAAATGTTCTAAGTATTTGGGTCCTTCTATTTCAATTTATTATTATTATTATTTTTATTATTATTATTATTATTATTTAAACAGTACGTATCAGGAACAACGGCTCATTCTCAGACCTAGTCTACGGTAGAGTAGAAGTCTACCACTCCGGCCAGTACGGGACTATATGCAGTGCACGCTGGGGACAGACTGAGGCTGACGTGGTCTGCAGGCAACTGGGGTATGCCTTTGGTACGGCTGTCACGGGGCTATCGTACGGACAGGTGTGTATGATAAGACTTAGGTGATAGAAAGGTTTTATTACTCTCTCTCTCTCTCTCTCTCTCTCTCCCATGTATAATTCAGAAAAGCACCCAGAGAGAACACTCCTCCGCCAAAACATCCAACCAAAATTTAACCATGATCTAACTGAATCAAAATGATCTTCACCAAAAATTTAAATCACTCTTAAGTCGGCCCATTTTCGACCTATCTGAATCAGCCCTCAAAATCCTTCCGTAACTTTTTGAGTTAGGCTAATGACGAACAAACGGAGAAGCAAAACAAACAAACAAACAAACAAACGGAGGTGAAAACATAACCTTCTTGGCAGAGGTAATAAACATACTAAGGATGTCTAAGGGACCGTTTTTTAAAGATATTTTGTTAAATCTCTTGTGTTCTAAGTACTTCCACGCAATGGATTGCAATGAATTCCTCGTTTTATCATTTTGTTTTCATCCAGGCTTCAATTAAACAACGGTATCTCATCTACAGGTACAAGTACAGTATATTAAATCCAATGATGAGTATTTTTCAGCAAATATACCTAAACAGAGTAATGCATTCCATGGCATTTTCCTTTACTTACTTTATTATAAAACTTATAATCATCATTAACTGTGCTGTTTTACTAGGGGACGGGAACTGTCTGGTTGTCAAGTGTCAGCTGTTCCGGAAGTGAGGCCACACTAGCAGACTGCCATATTGTCACGTGGGGTGGTGATGACACCTGTGGTCACGAGGAAGAAGCGGCTGTTGTTTGCTACAGAAATAATCCAGGTAGGAGGACATGGATGAGTGGTTACAATAACTGATAAAAGCACACACATTTACACTTTCCATGACACATTTTGACTTCACTGTTTTAAAAACTCACACTTGAGTTTTACATGTATTTTATTTATAAGCTATTTAAGTAGGGTGAAAACGTCAGAATATAGATCTAGCGTCTAAATGCCCTCGGAGACGAGAATGCAGGCAGAGTAACCCTAAATTTTATAAAATGTCCACGTGCATGGAAAGCATTTTAGCCATAAAAGAACTGTACAAAAGTAAAAGAAAAAAAAAACTCGCAGATAAATGTCCGTAGGTAGAAATTAAGTACTAGTATAATTTGAATTATAAACAATTGTCAATAAAAGTTATATCGTAATGAAAATGATTAAAAGTACAGATACAAAGTTGTGATTGTAATGAATACATTGTACCTTTCATAACTAATACAATATACATTTGTTAAGAGAGTTAAAGAGTGCATGTGTTTTTCAATAATAAAAAAAGAATAAGGGAGTATAGTTATCATTCCTTCAGGATGATACAATGAAAAATCTGTATTAATAGAAATGGCGACCTAAGGTCAAGTAACATACCATTGCCTAATAAGAGAATGATTATATTTTGGTAATGACGTAATGATGGAAAGTTATGGAAAAAGGGATAATCATAGACATTGTGTAAGAGCTGAGGAATTATTACATTACCAAATAAGGTAATGTAGGAGAAAGACTTTGTGATACATCATGACATTGGAATGATGATCTATAGGATAAAAGAGAATGCATTGTAACTGGAAAATAAGAATATACGAATAAATCTTTTAGGCCCCCAAAAGATGTATGTTCTTCATTTATAGTACTGGCAAAATAAAAGGTACTATAGTTAATTAAAACGTGCTTTATTCTTGTATTGGGGCAAGAATAGCTCAATAAGGGACACCTTTGTGTATGTTAAACCATAAATCATAAAGGCAATCACATTCTTGCGTGTTTCGCATGCTTGTTAAGAATTCTACACAAAGAGGTGCGCTAAAGTAAACGTACGACTAGCACCACGCTTGGGGAATTATGCTGACGTAGTTTTGAGGTAATGTCGTAGCCCGATTGTTGAATTTGAACCATGCGACGAATGGAAATTAGCCGTATTTTTATAACTTGCTCCATCCATACAAAATCCCATGCCCTCCATATAATATTTAACTAAGTACAAGGAAGTATTTGACTAGCAGCAACACGTTTTTCTGTTCCGTGTCACGGTTCACCACTAGTTCTTTCAATGGAATAAAATTACTGCCCTACAACGTGGGTCGCGGTTTCACAAAAGAATTTTGGACCCAAGTTTGGTGTTTAAGATATTCAGACCCAAATTTGGTATTTTTTTTCAGTTCAAAATAAAACTGTTATGGCTCATTAGATTAGAATAACTATAACTCTTACACAGAAACCATATTTCACTGAAGTAAACTACCACTGGTTTTTGTTACTCTCACTCTATAACAGAGGCTAGCTGAGTCATGAAATTAAGTTTATGTAAAAAATCTTGCCTGACAGCAAAAAAAGACTCCAAAACTAGCTGGAGACAGGCTTATCTGTGAATATCTAGTGAAAAATCAAGCTGTGGCCTTTGGTTTAGCTGGGTAGTTTTATCTTGGGTTTAAAAATTTAGACCAAATTTTGGTCTAGGGCTCCTTTGTGAAAAAGACCGTAAGTATTAAGCGTTTTAAATTCCAGGGGAGGGTGATGTTCGACTAGCTGGAACACATTTCTCTGGCCGTGTTGAGCTGTTCCATAATGGCGTATGGGGTACTATGGCCAACATTGACCGCACGGCTGCTGACGTTATTTGCCGCCAACTCCACTACGATTATGGGAAAACTGAATCACTTGTGGTAAGTGTAGCTTGGGTTGGGGAGCATTCTCCAAGGGCAGCAGCTTTATTAATTAAGCGTCCCTCAAATATATATATTTATGTCTCCTCCATCTCAGTGTACCACAAACTTTTATAGTCTCATTCATAGCAAGAAAGAAGGCAACAATGAATATTGATTGTTCGTTATTTGGCCAAACAGGGCCGCTTTTATTATATAACCCCTCTATCCTAATCGTTTTGACAATAATAACAATGTAGCAAATTGTTGCTTGTATTAAATGTTATGGCCTTAGGGGTAAAAATTATATATCAAATATTCAATAAGACTCATCATCCTAAAAATTATGATGCGACGAGTCAGCAAAAGTAATTATTTACCAACAATATATATTTACAGGACACCACAGTATAAATTGATCAGTAGATCTTCTTGTTTACTGAAAGTATCATGTCTATATGACTATTATTACACATTTTAGACGCACGCGGATGCAAGCGTCCCCGTGCACGCTTCACGTGTAAGATGCAGTGGACCGGAGGCGCAGCTCAGCGCGTGCGCAGTAACGTGGGCAGTCAATGCACAGAGCTCACATAATCACTCTAGGGACGCGGGTGTGGTGTGCTTTCAAAATGAGTGTAAGAAAGACTAAGTCTATGTTCAGCGTGTAATTGACAGTATAATTCTTGACTTTCTTTCTCATCTTTTACATTGCTCAGAGTTGTTTTGTACGTTTTTGTTTTTGGTGATTCGGTACAGGAACGATGAATTGAATCTGTACTGTCCCCCAGATTTGGCAGTCTTTTTAAAACCAAAAGATTTTACTATCAGGGCATCTGTGATGTTTATTCGACAATATCGTCAAATTCTAATAATTCTAAGAACAACTACACTAATTCTATTCAACCATATTGAAACGGTCACGACGGGGAGGCACCAGTCAATGGGCACCCTCGTTCTAAAAGAACAGTTTCTTGAACACCTGTCATCTACTCTGCATTTTGGTGTTGCAGCGCCTTCCGTCCGCCTAGCGGGTGGAGGAATGAATTACGGCCGAGTGGAGGTGCAATATAACGGGATATACGGAACTGTCTGTGACACGAACTGGGACTACAGAGATGCCAAAGTCATTTGCAATATGCTTGGCCTCTCATATGGGAAACCTCTCAGGAATTCCAGGTAAGTAAGCACTGCCAGTGTTTTGTCATTGCTTGGGATTTTGAATAGGGAATGTTATGATCCACCCTACACAGAAAAAATCCAGTAAGATTTTGTTTTTTAATTTGCATTAACTTACACCCCGTTGGTTCCAATTCACTTAGATACTCGTAAATGCGCAACATACAGTCGTACCCGGTACCAGTAGTTAAGAACATGCACAGTTTGAATGTGTCCCATGCAATTTGGTAGTCCAGGGTAGGGCATAGAGGGTACTGTACGTGCTTCTCTCTTAGCTTCTGAGCTACCGCTTCCCCTTTTCCCAACCACACACACACAAAATAACTACCAAAGCAACCAAGCAACTCCACCCTCTCCCTGTGTCATACATATCATTTTAAAATAGTTACTGTTTATTTTCGGCGAGCATAGAGAGTCCAAAGCATTCAATCCCGCCATCTTTAAGAAGAGGAAGTGAAAAATATATGATCCTTGATCCGTGCTTAGTGAGTCAAAACATTTTATCCTTGACCTCCTCGTGCAAAATATTACCAGTGTTACACGTATGTTTCATAACCGTTTCAGATTCGGTGGCGGTAAAGGCATCATATGGCTAAACAATGTGAACTGCCAGGGATCCGAGGCAGTGTTAACATCGTGTAGTTTTAACCTCTGGGCCACAAACCTATGTGATCATAATCACGATGCTGCAGTATACTGTTCAAATGAAGGACTAGTCAGCGGTGTATTTGGTGAGTATTTTCGTATGATGTCGCATTTAACTTACCACGGCGGTCCACTCGTTTTAATGCTGAAAATGATTTTATTTTAGAACATTCTGTTTTAGAGAAGGGGTGCCTCAAAAGTTATGGAGATCGTGCTTTTATAATCTACGCCCCAAAAGTGTGGAATGGTCTACCAAATTTTATTAGAAAAACAGAAGACTTTGACAAGTTTAAATCTCTTTTAAAGACCCACATTTTTAATTCTGTCTATATCTCTTAGATTTTTTTTAATGTATATATGTACTTTAATAAGATTGATTTTTAGTAGTGTAAATTTTAAATGGTTTCCAGTGAGAGTTTATGATTAAAATATTGTAGTCATTTTAATGATTTTAGTATATTAGCCATTATTGTAAGGCGCCTTGCAATAGAATGTAAGGCGCCATATAAGAATCTTATTATTATTATTTACTTAGTGTATTTGTTTTAAAGTACTTTGTACTGTTAAGTTAAATATAAAATCTGTTTCCCTTGTTTTCACACAAAGCAAGGCAAACAGTGGACAAAGACCTTATTTTATCATGGTGCATCCAACAGAAATAAATCTGGATCAAGATATTTGTTGATTTGGATATATTACACTCCGGCACAATACAAGCAGAATGTATTATATTATAAAATATTATATTATATTATATTATATTATATTATATTATCGTAAGAGTTGAACCCGCATTTTATGAACCAGAATAACAATTCCTATAAAGGGTTCATTTCAGTGTTTATTTGCTAAACCTGCAAATATGAACGACGTGTTGAATAAACAATTAAAGCAACGTGATCAAGTGATAAAGAACTGGCAAAGGAAACTCAAGTGTCGAGACTATATTGGCCAATGGAAAAAGAGAACGTATAAAGAAAGAAAATAAGGCCTGAATATAAGGAACGGCAAAAGAACAAGATAGATAGAAGTAAAGTAGAGTGGTGAGCGATATAGGAAACTCATGGTAAACAAAGGAGTTTTAAAACACTCCATGGGTATGAGCAAAAATGTTCATTAACTTGGTAGTTGGATCACACATGAAAATTCTCAAACACAAGCCTAAAAATTTCCGTACCGTTAGCTTACGGCCAACCTGGTCGAAGGCCTTCATCAGACTGGTGTGAGTAGTTGTTCACACTCACTGACCGCCAGGTGGTATAGCGGCCAAGACCCTCTTATAAATGTCAGGTAGATCTTGGACCTAAATAGAGAAGGTCTCTATTTAGGTCCAAGGGTAGATCAACCCCCCCGTCCCTATTCATGTGATAGACACCGGCCACAGTATCGACTGGAATTCAACTAAGATCCTTGAATCTGAGTCATCCGACATCCCGCGAAAAATACGAGAGGCTATCAACATCAGCCGTCACCAGCCACCCATGAATAGGGACGGGGGGAAGGGGGGTGATCTTCCTGACATTTATAAGAGGGTCCTGGCTGCTATACCACCTAGCGGTCATTGAGTGTGAACAACTACTCACACCAGTCTGATGAAGGCCTTCGACCAGGTTGGCCGTAAGCTAACGGTACGGAAATTTTTAGGCATGTGTTTGAGAATTTTCATGTATGACTCCTAGGGTAAACTAAACGTGACTCTCTCTCTCACTTTCTCATTTGGTTTTTATAGGTTATGACGAGATTCGCCTTAATAATGGCAGCGTGGGTTATGTGGAAATACGACGCAACAACACATGGGGTGGTATTTGTGATGACGGGTGGAGTGACAGATCGGCAAATGTCGCCTGCAAAGAACTGGGATACAAATCTGTAAGGGATCTTGGTTTTCTGATTTTTTTCTGTCGGTTTACGTGGTGTGTTTTCATAAAAGGGCAGTCTGGCAATGCACTGACCTTTGGTAGGCCTACATGAAACAGTCAGATCATTTTTTTGCCCTTGAACACAGTAAATGCATTTTTATTAGCTGTACTAATAAAAGATTAAAGGACTGCCAGATATATTGATGCTGATTGCCTACAATGGAAGATCAACACATCAACCGACTTAAGTTCTACGTGTTCTGTTAACATTCACGATAGCGGGGGAAGGGGGAAGTTTAAATTCCATCTCCATCGCGACTTTTATAATCTAATAAGTAAAATAAATCACGCTGCATATTGATTTATAGTGATAATATGATAAATGTAGTTGCCAAAACCTGCTGCCGATTTCTAGAATTAAGAAGAAATTTTATTTACGAATAATGTTTTCATGTATATTTTGAGTGATAATCAGTCTATCGTAGTTCTGTATAGAACTGCCATGTTTTATTGTTCTTAACTTGTATTTCTTTTTTTATGGGCGAGACTTAAAATATCTTGATCTTGATCTATGACTTACTTAGGGAAGAGCGTATAGGCAATCAAGACACGGGATTGCTTCTCGAGGTTTCTGGCTGGATTACGTACAGTGTACCGGACAGGAACCTTCTCTGTCCTACTGTCTACACTCTCAGTGGACCCACGACTGCTTCACTGACGAGACGGCTTCAGTAGAATGTTTTGGCACCGAAATAGGTACCCAATATTTTTACAACATTATTTTGTTAATAGATTGTGGAAACATTAGAATATAATGAGCTTTATTCATTGTAACGTATGCATCTACATGGATAGATGAAAATGTACAAAAGGAATGCAAATATAAATAAATATGAATTAAGTTAAATAGTGATATTGTACGACTCCTTGTATGAAAAATACAAAACATATTTGGCAGAGCCAAAATGGCTCTACCTACTCAACTGGTAATGGGTGCAGCACAGTCCCTTTTTTTTGGAAGGCTAACCATAAATATTTGGCAAGAGCTATTATATGTTCATTCTCCTTACCAGTCATTAGCGTTTTAAATTTATCCATTCTGGTAAGATGCTCAAAGTTACTATGTTGTTTTTTGTATACTGAATAAAGATCATATTGGAGGTCTGCATAAAGGGGACATGACACTAGGAAATGGATTTCATCTTCTATTTCGCCAGAATGGCACTTTTTGTAAATTCTGTCTGCTTGGGGAATTTTTTTATGTCTACCTGTTTCAATACCTAGGTTGTGTGCACTTATGCGGAATCTGGTTAAAGTGGTACATTTATCTCTATCTTTAATTGTGTCTAAGTATCTTTCCTTCACACATTTGTTCTTGTATTGACAATAAACTTGCAATTTGGACTTGGTGTTGGTTATGTCTCTCTGCCATTCCTGTGTTATTCTGTCCCTGATTCTTTCCCTAAACCGCTGGATAAAGTTTTTATCATATCTTTGGCCTAGCCACACATCATCAAAACCGTTCTCAAAAAGTATCTGTCTCACACCTTCGCACCATGACATGTTTTCCTGCTTTATCTCTGTAAGGTTGGATGTGTTTAAAAGTTTGTAATTTTCTATTTCATCAAGGTAGGCCTGTTTCAACAAACTATTAGCTTCCGAGTTTAATATTTTTTGCCAAAATTTTATAAGTTGTGTTTGGATTATAAAGGATACTGGCAGCCTACCCAGTTCTCCTCTGACAGCTTGGTTTGTACTTTTAGAATGTACACCTAGGAGTTCTTTACAAAAGTGTAAATGGATATTTTCTACCGGAGCCCCAAACTTCAACAGCATATGTAGCCTATGTAGTATAATATGTTTGTGAGGTATCCAAATAGAAGCAGCGAGTGTGCACTTGTGGTAAATTGTGAGTTAGTAGACGATTGGACGCAGATGATGTAAAGATTTGCTTCTTTATTGGCAGTTGTACCTTTTGAACGACACTTACCATTTTTATACCGGTTATATTTTATGACTTATCTTTTGCATGTGTATTTACATGTTTATTCAGGTAGTCCCACCTATCATAATAATAATAGTAAAACTAATAATAATAATAATTATAATGACAATAGACCGCGCTTCACACTGTTGAGCATAATTTGAAATCAAAACCTAATATTAAAACATACAAAATAAAACCACCGACCATCACTGATAATTTTTATGCACGTTTTTCTATTACACTCATTTAGCCTCCTCCCTTGACTGCGATTTCGAATACAATGGCCTGTGCAACTACACCAACAACCAATCCTCCGAGATAACGTGGTTGTTACACTCCGGGAGTACCAATAGCCGCCTGCGGTCTGGTCCTATAAACGACCATACATATGAGAATGCAGAAGGTATTTACCAACACACAATGGACAATAGAAGTGTCACCCCCTGAATCAGAGTAATCAGAATAATAATCAAGTAATCAATAATCAAAGTAGGCAGATCTTGAGTAGTTACAATACCTGGTCTACATTTTGTGTGTGTGTGTGTGTGTTTTTTTTTTTTTTTTGTGAAATTTGATGTTAATAAAATGATACCAGGAAAATATCATTCCACAGTCATTTATCTCCCCCATAGTATTGGTTCAGTAGGGGTGACACTTCTATTGTCCATTGTGTGTACTTAATCTTAGGGTCCATTCAGAACAGCTGACTAACTAGTCCACGGGTCAAATATGGCCGACCCACTTGAATACTTCCTCACGGGGAACCTGTTCAGTGTCTAATAGCGGATTAGACGGCAAGCTTTTTAGTCGGTCGCCGTATTTGGTCTGCGGACTACTTAGTCCGCTGTTCTGAACGCAGCCTTAGGGTCTGTATAACACCAGGGATTATTGGCATTTCCAGTGCAACTTAAACACCGTTTGCTTTGACCCGTGTGCTACCAGCCATCGCATGGGATGAGCATGTGAATTAATGTATAAACCTCGAACAAAGTATTGTATTTACTCTGTATTGATTGAAAATCATTATCTAGGCTATTATTGCTGCTGCTTCTTTCAAGTTTATATCTAACACATTTAGATTTATTAAAATATTTTTTAAATGGGCGCCTACAAATGTATCCTACATGTATTTCATTTAAAACAAATGTGTCCCTTTCTTGTTTTCCCAGGGCATTACATCTATGTTGAAGCGTCTGCAAATGATGAGAAGAAGGCGCAGTTGATTTCCCCGGCCAACACCGTATCCTCCCCCACGTGCCTTGCCTTTTGGTATCACATGTTTGGTTACGACACCGGACACTTGAATGTGATACGGCGTTCTACAAGCGGGGTCGACGAGATGGTTCTTTGGCAACGAAGCGGTCCGCAGGGTGAGAAATCATTATTTTAAGCGATTTTTTAAAGATTTGTTTTATAGAACTTTTAATGTTTATCATATAGATCTTCACTTTTTAATTGATTTGATCATTTTCCTAAGTAAGCTGAAAAGTTTGTAGCAATTATGCTGCAAACCAAAAGTTTACGGCAACGAGTTTGCAAGAGTTGGCAAGAAAATAGTATTACTTCTAATTTGAAGCAAACTTGCTGCAAATGTGCAAGAAGGAATTACAGTTTGCAGCAAATTTGCAGGAAGCCTGATATAATGGTAAAAGGTTTATTGTTTCAACGGCAATTCAGGAAAGTTTCAATAAATGCCTTTTGCATTTAAAGTAACAATATGCCTAATAGATTCGCCCAACAAAGCTATCTGAAATATGATTCCGCTGCTGCTGGAAGAATCTACATGTATTATCTTAACTACCAACTCCAATTGGTTAAAGGAAAATGATAACTTCTGACTTCAAAGGTAACACATGGAAGCACGCAGAGATCCAGCTGCCAGCGGGGACCTACCATGTTGTGTTTGGGGCGAAGATAGGTTTGGGTTTCACGAGTGACATGGCCCTAGACGACATCACTGTACAGGCAGGACAATGTAAAAACACAGGTAGAGTAATCCAGACAGGGATACACCCAGCAAACTCAAAATGCTTTTTTTTTCGTTACAATAACGACGGGTGAAACGTCATGGTAGCGATATAATAACGTTCGTTTTTTGGGCAGACGCTTGGTTTTCACTTTTTCATTTACGTGTATTCAACAGGTTAATTCATGGGTTTTTTCCTTTTCATCTGCTAGGTGCTACTAGTACATTACTAGACGTTTTCAGATCTTTTCTGTTGGCATATCTCTATCTTAAGTGTAAGAATTTATCATCAATCTTCTATGTCGGTCACCAATGAAATTGTGTTACTAATTTTGCTTTAGTTGTGAGCACTGTTTTTTATTAACAGAGGATGGAATTAAGTCTACGAAAAAAGAAACACTACTGCATTAGAAATACATGTAAATTATATCTCTTTTTTAAAGCACATTATTTACTTTGGTAGCGTTGTACGCATGTTGGGAAATCCATAATGAACAGTACAACACAACACAACGAATAAATACAACTAGCACAATTGACCATTATTGTAAAGATATTATGGTTTTTGAATCAATTTAAAATATTGACAAGCTTGGTTAATGTCTAGACCAAATGTAAATTATTAAATGAATCAATTTCAACCCTTTCATATTCCAACAGACGGCGCTCACATAGGACTGTACGAGATAGCTAACAGTGACCCGGCAGTGAGAGTTGAAGCCAATGGAAAGTGGCGTTTTATTTGTTTCGAGGGATGGGACTATCGAGACGCTGTGGTCAGTCTTACTTTCATTTATTAATCAAAAACAAATTATTTGTACAACTTGTAAAAGGCTTAGATTTGTTGCTTTTATCCTTGTTTCATTGAAAACACGCAACATTTTGTGATACAGCCATTTCAGAGATTAGATTGGGATATATACTTATTTTTACATGTAATTGGTCCCATAATGTTAGATGCTTCGCAACATATTTCACAGTCGTAGAATTTGACATAAAGGTCTTCTTTTTTGTTCTTCATTAATGGCACAAATTGGCAATCCTTGTAAAACAAATTGTAGACGATCTCAGCAAATGCGACCGAGGAACTATTGGATCTCTCTAGTATCTTGAGTAGAGAATTTCAGCTAAAAGACTACATTATTAATTGGTTTTCTTTCTTTTCCTTTTGGCATTTTTATTGTAGGTTGCCTGTAAGGAGCTGGGGTACCAATACGGACGACCCGGTAAGATTAGGCTGGTCGGGAGTCTCGTCTACAGTGTTCACCAAAACATACGTTGCACAGGGTCAGAAACGTCGTTAACAATGTGCAAAGGGGAGTTTTCCGAGCCATTCAAGTGTCGTCACAACCAAGTGGCTACGGTGGGGTGCACGTCAACTGTGGGTAAGTATGTTCTAAGGCCCCATTCCCATAGCCTGTGTTCCTATAAACCCATCGTACTAGCTTAATTGATCTAAGTTTGTGGGGGTTTCTCACTAATGTGCTTTCATTGTAACAGCTTAATTGTTTGTGGGTTATTGACTATCGTTCAGCAGTTTGAGTAGGAGCGTAAGACATTTCAGGCGTTTACACTGCATGCGATTTAGCGAGAATCCCCGCAGAGTTAGATCGATCCAGCTAGTGGGTTCATGTGAACACCCGTCATAGACACCATCGGTCAACGTAGATCGATCCAGCCCCTCGAGGAACAAAACAGAATCCTGTTGCTTCGGTATGTCGCGATATTGCGCGAGATTGACATTTTAGCATTGTGCGATTTTTGTATTCCAGTACCAACCGATATCTACTTAGTGGGCGGCAGCCAGCCCGGGAGCGGACGAGTGGAGATTGTGTATAATGGAGTCCGTGGAACAATCTGCGACGACCATTTTGACGACAATGACGCCACAATAATTTGCAGGCGACTTGGCTATGTGAGGGGCAAGGCTTTGAGAGGAGCTTTGTAAGTGGAAATTAACGCCAATAGAGGCTTTTCCACGGTCACGTGACTTCCGCTAAATTATCCGTGGGAACGCGAGATTTTGCGGGATTTGAAGTTTCAGGGGGAAAGTGTGGAGTGTACACGACGGACGCCATATCGAGGAGTGCTCATTTCAATCTGAATTTTCAAAGTTTCGTAACATGTTAACACCTGATTTTTTTCGAAAACACATTCATGGGAGCAGTTGGAATAGAAATTTAGCAGAAGTACCTGATGACTTTTCAATGAAAGAACTAAAAACGTACCTAATCGACAGCAAAGATAGGACATTCGGT